CGTATTGGATTGAAAGTGAATGGAGTGCTTTATCATGGTGTCAGGAGAGGATGAAGTTAACCAATGGATATTTGGTTTTTATGTCAAAAACGGGAAATTGAAAAACCAGATACTGAATGGAAAGCAACAAATGGATGCTTTGTTCTGGAGTCGAAAACTTTTCTGAAAGTAGCCACTGGACAACTGGGCCTCAAAATCCAACTTTGCTTATCTTTCTCATTTAATTTCAATGGTTAATTGATTATTATATGTTGAATTAGTAAGGGATATCAACTACTTGGGAATCTTTTATTATCGGCATCCATTCTTAATCTAGTAATACGGAAGAGATCAAATCTGAAGTTTAATTAACTCTGCTGACACTACAATCTTAAAATCGTCGAGATATATAGAGATATCTGTTATTGCCTCATGATTAAAGAGAAAGTAGCGCATAAATTAATGATGACACACACACACACACACATGATGAGGCTCCGTGATTAATTAGTAACCATAGTTTATAAACAAGACGTAAGGGGTATCAATAATTAATGCGGGAATGAAGTTTAATTTAAAGGTCTAATTAAGAGTGAAATCAAGAAAGAATTAAGAGAAAAGATGGTGGGTTTCGCATTTGGAATCCAATAAAGAGAGGGAGTGGGTGGAATCCCACAATGTAAATAACAGGGCAAGCACTACCAACAGATGTTACACAATACAAAAAGATGCCTTACTCATTATGTATAGGTGCGAGGTAGGCATAAAGAAACCACCCCTCGTCTCTCATTGTTTTTCCTTTGATGCTTACTGTGTACCACGCTTGCATCTGACCTACCCCTTTATTTATTTCTTTTCATATAGAAACAGATATCACCTCCCGTTTAATAATTTAGAACCCCCAAAAAAGATCTTTTTCAATGATACCTTTTTATTTTTATGATTATCATTTCATGAATGACATTATCGTTTAATTTATGTTTAACATTGAAGATGTACAGTGTTGTTGTTGAATATTACTCCCTCTCGTCATTATTACAAGCTCCCTCCAACATGTTTTATAATATAACATGCTTTGTTCAAAGTATTAATTTTGTCTACCTAATATCCCTAACTAATTAATTACAAAACTTCTCAATTGATTAACCAACTCTTCTAACTAATGACTTTTACTGAGAGTAATTTTAATATTTTGAAAAAATTAATTGTAACCAACTTCATTGATTTATGTAAAATTGCTATGAGATGGCTATAATAAGGATCAGAGGGAGGATAGTTATGGGGATGGGATACCGGATGCATGGCACACAGTGGGTGAGTAGTCTAGTCAGGCTCTAGGGCTAGCACTTGGTATTATATCGTGGAAGGGACAGAGCATGCATCGTGAAGAGAACAATTAGCAGGTGCTGACATGACAACAATTAATATATTATATAATGCGACGACAATTCTTCACATTTTGCTATTTCATGGAAACATCTATTTATGTGAATATGAATGCGATCCATGGCGCATGGAAAGCAAAGCAATTAATCGATGAATTACGTGTTGATGTAACAACGACAGTACTATTCCTGGAAGGGAACATGCAAAGCAATTCTTATTTACTAAGTGGAGGAAATGATGAGAGTACAAATTGGAAGGGGCTGCGAGTGAAAAAGGCAGATCAAAATGTCCAATTAATGGATGAATTACGTGTTGATGAGAAGGCGTTGAAAAGTGAGTTTCAAGTAAAAAGTTGAAGAAACTCGCAGCCGCGCACCCATTCATTCATTGCCTTTGTCGGCGTCTCCTTTTTATTTTGTTCCCCACTCCTTCTTTCTAAATTCTCCCTAAACTCACCCAACATCCAATCTCACAGTTCATTTAACTTTAACTTTTTTTTTATGTTCTCTAAAATTAATATATACTATCAATATTTTTTCAAAAAGCTGTTCGGTTTGGTCAAACCCAGCTTCAATTTTCAGGCTCTGATATATGCTTCCAGTTGGGTTATATGTTTTCATGAGGGTTTGGTTGTAAACCTGGTTAAGTATTAATTAGTGTAGTTTTGACTATCTTGAGCGGTATGAATAAAATAACTCACATTATGGTAGATATGATTATGGGGTTAATGAGGCACTCAGGATTATTCTTTAGTCAATCACTTCATGATAATTGATCTCACACTATCTCTAATTGCTTTTAATAAAATTATATGCTAGTGTAGGAATCAAATTTAGTTCTTAATTAGCATCTCTGCCTCAACGTCATCAAAGAAGCGTCCTATTTTAACTTAACTCACAATCTTTCACCAAATTAGTTGGTTCGCCTCACCTGGCATAAACTTAACGTGAGTTTATACTTTGAGGGGTCTTTTGGCATATTTACATTATTCTTATCTCTATTCATTGTCGCAAATTTCACAACCTTGATGTATTCTTTGCATATATACTTTGCTCTAATCTTCTTAATTATATCTAATTTGACTAGCGAATCTAATTATCTTCTTCTGATAGATGACCGATCAACCAGTCTAATTATAAAATTTCCATGCCCCAAAGGGGGAATATATATCTTTTGAAATAGACACCTGCCCGTGGGTTGAGGCAGTTGTAGCTTGTAATTTAAAAGGCATAAAAGAATCTTTTGATTATTCAAAAAAGAATCGAATATAATTTGATGACTTTCATATGAAAAGACTCGAAATTGGTAGTTATGCGTCGATTCTTAGCTTATTGAAGTAAAGGATTAACAAGCAGGATGAGACTCAAAAATATTCTGATATGAAAGAAAGAATGTATACAACAATGAAAACAAATATGAAGTACGAATAATATCCTGATGTGAAAGATGACAACATTCTATGTATCAAGCTTCGTTATTTAATTCCAGAACACACGCGTCTGTTTCTTTTTGATAATTTTTTAAAACATTAGCCAATGCGCATTATATATATATATATATATATATATATATAGACACACACACACACACACGAAGATTGGTAAAAATTTATGGTTCACAAAAGAGACGGTAAAACCTGGAAACATACCCACACACACGAGACTTTATTTAATTAAATTTAAAACGTGAAGTTGTTCATTTATGCGTTTCGAACAGTTTAAACCTATGATCTGATTGCTGGCCTGAATATATAATTAAGAATCATTACACGTGATCGCGAGATTTCATGTGGTGAGTGATGGTCAGAATAAACTATAACATAAACTAATAGCACTTAGTGGGGAACACATCAGGATTAATCGATATTAACTGATCTCCGACTAAAAAAGTAACCAAATGGGAAAACCACTTCAAGTGAAATGTTTGGAATGAATTAGGGATGCTTCGAGGGTGCTGATTCATTTATCCTTTTCAAGTTGGGCTCCATTATATTATATTATTTCTTTGTACCAGTAGAGGATACTCGAATATAATATCATCATGAAGTTGGAGTAATTACTTACAAAACGAAATTTTTGGGTTCTATATATATATATATCCTTCTTTATGCATTTTAGAGTACTTTGCCGAAGTTGCGCTGGTTTGCTACTAAGATGATTGTCTGAGTATCAAATTTGTTTTGGTTTACAAAAAAGACTCTTATTAATATAAGAACCTTGATAATGGATAATTTTAAATACCTCTGTAAATATTCTTAGCCTGACTCTAAGGGATAGTATTCGAAATACAACTGACATAAACTTTGAAATACCACGAGATGAGTATAAGGGCGTATTTCTGTTGGAGTTGGGGGACGGAATATGTTCTAGGGCGTGGCCTCACATGGCAACAAATGTCAAGTAGCTTATAAGCATAAATGAGAGAATATGATTAAAGGGAGGTAGAGGCCGGGGATGATAATGGCGAAAGCCGTCAGCATCGAATGCGGTGGTTGGAGTGCTATCAAAGAGAATATATATATATATATATATATATATATATAGACACAAGTACATGGCTGTCTATTCATATACTTTTAAATGAAATATTCCGAACATGGTGCTTTAACTCATAATGCGCCCTACCTTGTATCATATTACCTAAATCTCCTTTCCCGTCTTCTTCTCTATCTGTTTGTCTTTTCCAGATTACATGTACTTATACGCACGTAACTGTTGGGATTTGGATTGTGGCCATACTTAGGGGGTGTTTGGATAGAAACCAAACCATGGTTTCAGAAGTGCTTTTACGGATTACGAAGTAAATATGTGGAGGAAGTTACCTCGTTTTGCGGAAAAGTGATTCTGAAACCTAGGTTTTGGTTTTGCCAAACACCCCTTTAGTATATTTATTGTCTTTTTTAATTAGTCCGGCGGATAGATAAAAGCCCAGACCAGGCATGCATGGACCAGGCTAGGCCTGGCTCTCGCTAATTAAAACTAAAGCGTCCTGCGTTTGATGGCGGAAGACGGATTAATAGCGAATAAGGCAACATTATGCACAGTAGCTACATCATCCAAAAAGAAGTTAGAAGAGCTTGGGCAAGAATCTACACCGTCCATTGTAGGCTATTTTGGAGGAGGGTGTGTCATGGAATGAAGGAATCAACCAAGAATATTAATTCTGGGATAGGAGCGGGCCATGAGCAAGATAGGATTAATTGGATTTATATTATATTATAATGGGATAACACCGTCGGATTCAGCCTCAGCGGGACTCACCATTATTCACGGTGGGCTCGCGTTTTGTCTCTGTCATGCCCACCCGCGCTTAAGCTTGTACTAATAATACATTAGCTAGGTTCTCATTGTATGTTTTTAACACTTGTACTCGGCGGACCCTCCTCCTTGTTTGGTTGTTTAATGACCCTGCTATATCCTCGACTTTCAGGGTAATCAGTTATTACCATGTGTCCTTCTCAATTATTTAGCATCAGTATGGTCCGATCCCTCTTGTTTGGCACTTTACGTTGTACTTATGACTCTTGTTGTATATTGTGATTTCCCCTCTGTTTTTCTTTTTCTTTTTTTTGGGGGGGGGGTTGTGGTTAAAAGGAAAAGAAGAGAAAGGTGTATGCATGCGGGTGAATTTGATCAGGTGGCAAATAGGCGGCGGAAACAGTAACTGAGGTTGAGGGTACAAGGGGGCGTCATGGGCCACAACAAAGCCATGCTTGAAAACCATGAGCCGAGGTGAGGCTCACAAAATTAAAATGATAAAAAAGAAGGGGACAAAAATGAAGTCCATTTATTTTGGACTAAACTGGGCCTCACTTGCAGGACTGCCTTTCCTGGGTATTATTGGATACCGTTAAATCCAGGCCGTTGTTTTGATCACAAATGAGGACCGATTCCTGAGGTTTATGATCATCAACAACAATGGTGGGGGCCATTGTTACAGGAAGCTGCCGCGTGTCTTTCTCGGGGGAGGGCGGCATGAGATGCTTGTATTCTTTGTGTTTGCCCCACGCCACCAGGTAGAGCCCCACCGACACCACCACTCCTCCGATGATACTGCCAAGGTGGAGTTGCTCCGACAGCAGGAAGCTGGCCAGGATGGTCACTATGATCATCCGCACCGGATTGAAAGCCGTCACGAACACTGGCCCCATTGTCTTCATCACTACCCCTTGCACGTAGTACTGTATCCCCGACGCCACTATTCCCTACATATATAAATATATATTTTCAATTCAACCCATATTAATTAATAGTTATTATTGAGGCCAATCAGGAACCGGATTATAGTTAAATAGAATGAAGATACTGACGGCGTAGGCAGGAGCAAAGAAAGTAGAATCCCAGGCGAGAGACCAAGCATGAGGACGGTGTCGTTCCATGTAGGCTGCCACTCCCGCGCTCTGAAATGACCCCACCAAACATATCAACGTCGCCAGCGACATCTCCGCCTGGTACTTCCTCAGCGTCACGGCCTGAAAATCATATGCATCCTCACTAACCATTCATAAAAATTAATATTGGACCCGCTAATTGATATTGAAGAGGAGGGTCGAGTTTGTTGGTTACTTGCAAAATGTAAAATCCAGAGAAGGCGATACAGGCAAGGAGGATGACGCAAGAGCCCAACAGCCAGTGGGAGCCGCCGGCAGGGTCGTCGTTGGCATTGTTAGGGTGACCGGCGGCGCCGCTGCTTGATGATCCTCTCACAACATCCACCAGGGGTCCTTTGTATAGTGCCATTATTAAGGCTCCTCCCAGCGTCACCACCGTCCCGATCACCTTCGCTTGGCATCGAATCTCCTTCATCTTCATCCTCTCCATTCTGCAGCGCCCATCATTCTTATTCGTTACTAGAACTCCACCAAAATTAAACAAACCATCCTAACTTTTCATTACTATCAGTATTATCATATGTTAATGCTTATAATTTTGGAATTGGTCTATACATGCATTTAATTTCATGTGTGTTATTTCTTATCTTTCTTGGATGGCGATTGTTGTCTAATGACTTTGACCATGGCGGTCGACCACCGAATATATCATGGCCGCAGCATTACATGAATTAATAATATGAATGAGATGAGGGTTCATTCAATATTAAATAATAAATAATTGGAAGCTGAAGCTAGGCCATTAATTCCTTGCGAGTTTAGAAGATTATAAGGCGGCAAAGATAAAAAAGCGACCAACATGCACAAGTGTATGTGTACGTGAGGAGTGGCGTGAAGAAGATCAATTATTATTTAGTGAATAAAACTATCACTTCCTGGTGCTTAACAAATGTTGGAAAGCCAGCGACTTAGACAGACCTAAACTACTGTTCTTCCCTGTCTACAGTCTTCCATGGTTTTTCATTTCCACCAGCCATATATATGATAGGATAAGGAGATAATGGATACCATCACCATATATATATATATATATATATATAGTCGGCAACACAAGCACTTATTACCTAAAAATGATGGCCAACACAAAGGTAATGGAGGGCACAGTGTTCATCAGAGCCACCACAAATGATGCAGACGTTAATTTCATGCCCAGCAGAGTGAAGCACTGATCTAGTATCATCCTGTCGGCCGCCAACATCACATAAACATGTAATTAATAACTACTCTTAAAACTTTCACTTGGTTTTATAGGTAAGTTGGCAAAAAAACAAAGAGGCGAAAATATGTAAGCAGGAAGAGGATGATTATTATTACTCGAGAAAAGCCAGGGCCATAATCTCGGAAAAAATCCGAAACGTCATTTTGGGCCTCACTTTCCTGCAGAAAGGATATAGTAACAGTAATTAACGATGAGAGTGCATGGGTATAATGTAAGTACGGAGGGAAGGGAGAAGGAAGAGAATGAAGAGGAGGACCTTTCGAGAACAAGAGCAAAGGGGCCGAGAGAGATGGCAGCAATGGCGTTACGATAGACGATGAAGACGTAACGGCTCATGCCCTTATTCAGAGCGTCCATGCAGAGAATGTACATGCCCGCCGACCCGAATTGCAACCCGATCATTAGCAGGTACGGCTTTGCACCTCGCAGCCACGCCCCAAATTTCATCACCACCGCCTCACTCATTTTGACTTCTCACTGATTGTGACCACTTAATTTCTTGATGATGATCTGCTCCTCCATGCACGCCCTGCCCTTCTTATTTATAACCAAACCTCATCATCTATATGCTCACTATTTTATTTATTTATTTATTTATTTTCATTCACATCATGGAAACCCACTATATCACTATCCACTATCAGAAGTTGCATCAGCGTACGCACCGTACTTCGGAACTAGTTCTGATGCTCATACAGTGATCAGCGCAAACATTTTTTAAATATTTTAATCATTTAGATTTAAAATTTTCAATTAATAATTTTCAAATAAAAATTATTTTAAAAAAAACTCACAATTCAAATGTAAGCTTTATTATAAGTTGTGTACAAATTATTAAAAATATAAAAATAAAATTATATCAGATCTGAGCCATCTGATTTTAATTTTAATCTAGAAGGTTCACATGTTTGATGCTCATTGTTTAAGTGATAAGCACCCCAACTGCTCTCTACTGATATCACATCTGGACCTTTGCCTTTTGATGTCCATGCCTAGCCTTTTTCCTCCTTCAATATTATTATATTCCCCTTAGTCACTCAGTGGATGCCAAAATTAATGCACCCAGACGGCCTAACTCATTTTTATTTTGTCTTGTACTTGATTGTTACGGCCTCTTCCAGATAATTAGTAACTTATATATATTGATATATAGGGTTTGATTCATTATTTTCAACTACATAATAAAAGGACTACTGAGCAATTAGTTATACAAATGTTACCCGATAATAATGAAATATGGATCTTAAAAAAACACTCTTGAGGGTGTAGTAGAAGAAATCGAACGATAGGAATAATAACAATAAATCTCGTTCACTTGTGTGGGATTCATCATATGCACCAAGGGAAAATACAACATTATATTAATTTTCATATCTCTTTTTGCTGCAGCATGAGGAAGTACTCTAGAAAAATGAAACCCCAGGGGAAAAAAAGCGTCACTATAATTAAGTTAACTGATTAATAATTCATGATGCGAAGATTAATAAGTACGGTGCCCACAGATCACTGGTGTCGTGTTCATGGACAATGTTTTGCCAAAGAAAGGTACGCAAATGACGTGGACTACCCTACGGGTCAACCTTGAAGGCTGCTTCAACCTAATTCTGCACCCATATAAGCTGTGTCATGTTTCCACTTGTTTTCCTTAAATGATAACAAAGGAGGCGACCTAGCGACGAGGAAAGCGGTAGTGTCGTCGCACATTTCACCATTAAACATACAAATTTATTAAAAAAATAATTTAAACGGTTTAATTTAAACCAAAAACTAGATCCTCTCTTTTTCATCCCTCTTTCCTTGTATAAACTTGTGTAATTGTCAATCACGAGAGCTCAAATATTATTCAGTAAGTCAAGAGAATTCTCGAACACCACAAGCATATATGCAGAGCACAGGAGAAGTTTTATATAAGCCAAAAGGATAAATATTTATGAATGTTTTTTAACAAAAGCACAGATTATGGATTGGCTGATAATAGCAATGCCAACTAGTCAATAAATAATACCATCGCGTTGTTCAAAATATATAGGACTCTAAAATATAAATATGTAGGGGTCATCTTCTTCGATCCTCTTTATTTTCGCACCCTGCATTACTTCTTTAATTAATGGTGCATGCCCTTGAGCCTGATTCACCCGTGTGTATGCATGTATGTGTCATTAGAGCCGGTAATATGGGTTGGACCCGCGGGTCGAACCCGCCAACCCGCCAAAAGAGGTGGGTTAGGGTTGGCTTTTGGCCAACCCGCCATCACCTGAAAAATATGAGCCCGCACCGCCATAACCCTAACCCGCGGGCCAACCCGCGGGTTAACCCATTTTTTTTTTTTAAAAAAAAAAAGATAACAGACAAAAGTAAAGCAATTTTTACTTCAAACTTTATTGTCATTAGAAATAATTAGATAAATAAGGTTATTCAATATTGCTCATTGGTTTCATTGAAAAAAAAAAGTGTGAACTTGTGTATTATCATGTTGGAAAATTGGACAATCATATACTATTTGTATTTTATTGTGTTGTAATTTTTATTTGGATGTTTCTAATATTTTATATCATTTTTAGTATTTTTATTTTGTATTATATATAATTGCTAACATTTTTTAAAAAAAAGAAAATTAAAAAAAACAAAAAAAAAAGTAAAAATAAAAATTTTGGCGGGTTGGTGGGTTGGCTTGGCGGGTTAGGGTTGGCAAAATGCCAACCCGCCAGAAAACGGGCCTTTTGAGCCCGCACCGGACAACCCACAACCCGCCACGGGCCAACCCGCAACCCGCGGGTTGGCCCGTTTTACCAGCTCTATGTGTCATACGCTGAATTCGTGTTCAAGGATCATGAGCTTTCATTTTCAAGTTTGTTAACATTCCCTTAATTAACAACGGGCTAGCTGATGAAATCAATATATCACATATATATGTGTAGTATAAGACTTTATAAGAATCCATACTATATTTTTAATACTAGGATGATGAAGTCAATAGGTACGAGTTATCTATCAAAATATTCAGTGACGTTCCTGTACTTGCCTACCAATCTTAAAGTACGGACGTGGTATTATTTCTATATAGCATAACGTATAAAAGCTTTTCTGTTTTTTTTTTCCGAGTAAAATAAAAGCTTTTCTTTTGTGTTGCCGAAAAGAACTTTCTTTTGTTTTTCTTTTAGGAAAACACTAGAAATCAATGTGCCGTTACTAATACTACCTCCGGTCTTTAATATAAGAATTAATTAACTAATTTGAGTAGATTAAGAAAGTTAGTTATGTTAATTATTTATAATAAATAAATATTGTCTTTCCTAAAATATCCTTACTAACCAAGTATATTGGCTAGAATCATTGTAACAAGGACTATATTAGACAAAAATAGATAAAAATAAAAGATAAAGTGTATTGGAGTCTTATATTTAAGACTAAAATAAAAGTCAAACAAGCTCTTTTATTAAGGATCGGAGGTAGTAATAAACTTTATTGAGATGCTTTCAAGGCCCAATCACATTTGTGTTTTGGGGAATAACAAGTTAATTACTATATAATGCACAATTCTTGTACACCAGACAATATATATTAGGTGATGGGGATAAGATTGTCATTTAAATATTCAGCCAATCTAATTATGATCGAATTAAATATTAAATATTTAAGTAAGTACCATACATTTGTCAAAATAAGAATGGCTATGTATAAAATTTCGAGATGATGAATATGGAAATTAAACATTGTTATACATACATACTTGTATGTCTCTAGATGTGCATGACTTTGGGAAAGATCGATATAAATATTAATTGGAAAAACACGCACAACCACAAAGACATACAAACACATGTATATGAATGTTTGCTTTTAAACAATGGGCATGCATATACAGGTATATGTGGGGATATATCTACATAAATTATAGCATCTCCCTCTTGTTAGCTCGCATAAACAGTGAGTGTGTGTATGGCTAAGTTGCTTCGCAATCAGAAAGCAATATGGATTACAGATCAAGGAAAATTCCCCCTTGTTATAAGGTGAATAGGGACAGCGCAACATGGATAATAACGGAGATTCTCCGAGAACACTAAAAAACTGTTTATTCATTAGTGGATGACGCTATCTAATTGTTAGTGCTTTCTCTATCATTAAACATTATAGCCCAAGTGAAAAGGATGGCTGCTTGTTTAATTTAAATGCTTTAATTTGTTTTTAGTTTCTGCTTTAGTGTACTATTTCCAGTTCTCAGTATAAGAGCAAATTAACTAATTTGAGTAGATTAAGAATGTTTGTTAAGTTAGTTATTTATAACAAATAAATGTTATCTTTTCTAAAATGTCTTTGCTAATTATGTATATTAGTTAAAACTACTATTTGATAGAATCTTTAACATGTATAATTACTGCAAGGATTATATGCTTTGAAAAAAAATAAGTATGAGAAATAAAGTGAGTTATAGTCTTATATTTAGGATCAGAATTGAATTTCAAACTAGTTTTTAAAAAGAAACCAGTATACCAAGATTCGGAGGTTCGGTGGCCATATCATATTTCGCACAATCCACTTCCGAACTTGAAGTAAAAACATTATTAGATACATGTATAGATCTTATTATAAAAATTTTAAATTTGTACAATCACTGGAAATGAAATGACGTACAAATTTAAAGGCCGGTGCCTGAAATTTCATTGCAGTTTGATTTTGGAACGGCTAAAGCAAATGATCAGTCATGCGGTGATTTTTCATTTTTGAATAAAATACATGTTTAATTTGGACTGAGAAAATTGAAGTAAAAAGGGGGGGAGTTTCGATTTTTTTTTTCAGTTTTTATCCGTATCAAGTCTTCTCAATCCAAAATGTTCCCCCCCCCCCAAAAAAAAATTAACGAGGGTATATATAATAAATATTATCACGATAGAGGTGATCGGGTATTTGCGTGTGAAGCGTGAACATGATATCTTATCAAGCAAATCATTTCAGATATGAAAGTAACATGTATTTTAATACACATATGTAGCGTTAATATTCGGCAACATAATCGGATCACGCTATATCCTTTTTCCTACCAGAGCAAAACTTGGGCGAGTTAAAACTCACTTACACGTCTTGTCACTTGAACAGGGGTTATTGAGATCTCTATCATTTTCTTATCCAATCTACTGATCCATGACCTAATTAACCAGACACTTCGACGAATAGCAAAATCAAAACTTTCAAGCACATATTAGCTTCCTTGCTATACATAACGTTAGATATATGCTTTTTCTATTTTCTAATTCGTGTTACAGAGTGGAATATTTACTTTTCTCAGTTACCCGAATAACAAAAGGTGGTCGCTATTGTTGGCTATTACACTGCATTCGATATTCTTAACGAGCGGCGCAGAATATTGTGGTATATTTTATTCAATTCATTTACTGTCTTGTTTTAAATTATGGTTGGATTAGGTGATGATTCCCAGCTAAACCCAATACTGAAAAGGAATTTGGACA